TCCAGCAGCACCAGCTTACCCCCTATAGCTCGGATTCGACAATGAAAGTATCCCTCCATGTAGAATTTCTCCTATAAATTCCTGACCATCTTAACAGAGTGGACCGTGCCCACATAAGTTCCCTCAAGCCATGCACTATCTTCAGATGTTACCTTATACTCCATGCCTTGCCAGTTCTCCCTTGGTCCTTTCTCTTGGCAAACCATTCTACTATATGTGCCCCGCGAACCTTTCACCACATCAGCAAAGCTTCTTCCTTGTATGTTTGACCAAGGATTTTGAGGATTTCTCAGGTCCTCTCCTTGGGGATTTCTATGCTCCATCTCCTTTTTTTGCATAGCATCAAAACGTGGGATGTTCACCCACAGTTTATGGTCATCAATCCAGATCTGATCAAGAATCCAGATCTGATCAAGTTTCCTTTCCAGCTCCTTTTTGTCTTTAACATCCAAAAAACGCACAAAGCCAAATCTGTTATTGTTCCTGTTCTTCCATCTCGGACTATATATAACATAAACCCTTCCAAATTGTAAGAAAGTCCTCCACATTTCCGCGTAGCTCCATTCTTCTGGGAAGTTGGTGAAGAAGAATGGTGTAGCTTGGTTATACAAGCCTTTGTTATAGGCTCCACCAAACTGTGACTTCTTGTCCTGCACATGGTCAATCGTCTTTCGCCTCTTACCAACTGATGAGTTCCTCCGTTACTGACTTCTTCCTCGAGGTCTCTCTTTCTCATTACCCTGTGTTGACCGTCCAGCCCGTGAATGATGTCCGCTTGCTCTCACTCTCTCTCTTCCTCTCTCTCTCTCTCATCTTTTTTTCCTTTTTTTCCTCATGTTCATACTACTAATTTGTTGCACATACTTAACTAAGTAATGGGGTTATTTCAAAGTTAATATAATGCAAACATTCTAGTCTATCTTATTAGAACTAGCAACTAATAGTCTTTTTTTTTTTTCTGAATAGCAAAAATAACATTTATTAAAAAAACAGAGTACAAGGACTAGCAACTAATAGTCTATGACACTATTATTGTATTTAGTGGATTTATGCAGATTTCTTTTTTTGGTTTGATTGTTGCGATAGATATATTGCATGGTTCATTCTCATACCATTAACTTGTTGCATCATATATATTTTCAGTAAGTTATAGAAGTGTAGTTTAGATTGA